AAGATTGAGCCCTGTAAGTCTGGGGTGGCAAAAGAATCAGGAGTCTGGTGGCACCTTTTCCAGCTCACAAATTTTATTCAAAGGTAGAAACTTTCGTGAGCTACAGCTTCTGCCTTTGAATAAAATTTGTGAGCCGGAAAAGGTGCTACCAGAGTCCTGATTTGTTTTGCAGTGATTTGTGGATCTCCAACAAGCCAGGCAGCTTTCTATCCATCCCAGTTCTCCCCTTCTGAGAAGGCGGACTCTAACTCTTTGTCCCTCAAAGTAGAATTAGCATCTCGGATTTGCTGGATCTCATGAACCTAGATGACTTTGGGAGGGCCCAGAGCAATATCAGCGAAGTAGACAGCAAAACAGTTCGCCTTTAGAGGAGGTAGACCCTCCATCTCTAGAGGGTTGGACTAGATGACCTTTGAGGTCTCTTCTAGGATTTAATCCAGAGGAGAGACCCATCACAACATTCCAAGGCAGACAAGCTCCAATGACCAGCACCAAAATACCAGACGTGGAAGAAAAAACATGATCAATTTCTAGGGCTAACTCTGACCCAGCCACTGTTGGAAGCTGGAGGCTGAATTTGATGACATTTCTATGCTTTTAGGTTCTCCCTTCAGCATTTGCGGGGCATATTTAGACTAACCCTAATCCTGGAACTGAGTTTCTCCTCCCTGCTCTTCTTAAAGGAACACACATAAAGTGCCTTTGAGCCTTTCAGAAAATTGCTGCCTCATACCTATGTTGCGTTGATGGTACCCATCAGCGACCAACAGAAATTGGTATTTTCTGCAGAGAGGTCAGGCCTCCCCGTGGTTTTGTGCACGCAGATGAAGTTGCAAACGATGCCCAGGAAAGGCTCTTCTGTGGCCTCAAGGATGAGCCAAGGCACCATGACCTCCACTGGATGGCATCTCCTTAAAGGGAGGAGAGATGCCTATTGAGTTGAGGCACCTAGCAGAGCAGAAGAAAGGCCAAACAAGGCACCAGCCCAGCACCGCTGCATAAACAAGAGGGCCTGCATCTCCTCAATTTCATGGTGGAACGTCAATGCATCGAGGGCAGGACTTCGATTGCAGAGTCCCTTTACGTGCAGAGACTGAGGGGGAGCCGCTGACTGGGTCATCCCCCACCCTGCTGCCACCACCATCCCGTCAGTTTTGCAAAATCCATAAATCTGAAGGACAAGAATTTCTTCAAAGGACCTTAATTGGTAAGCCTTGAACTGCTGGGGAAGGGCTCTGAGTCATTTAAGAAACAGTTCCTTCCAGGGGTGTCTACAGGGTAGAGTCAAAAAAGTCAAGGTGGTGACCATGATGCTGTGATCAACATTCTGCCCGTTTTTTGATTGTACCGTCATGTTCTTGACTTTTGATTGACATCCCAACTCTTTCAGTCACCTAAGCACAGGTCCAGCTGACCTCCCATCAATCCAGATGCTTCTAATTTCATGAATACTGGGTATCTGCTTGAACTTTTACACCCCAAAAGAGAGCTAACTAGAGCCTAGGGTACAAAATTCAGAGGCATGTGATTTCTGGAACCTCTCCAAAATGTCTCCAGTTGAGTGTCATTCCTGGACATGCACACTCCTTTTTGCTTGGTGGCAACCCAGAAGTGGTTTGCCACTTGTCTTCTTCAATGTTTGCCCAAACCCCCAGTCTTGCTTCTAACAAGAGGATTTCCTAGCAAAGTAACCAGCTTGACCTACCTCAGCTTCTTGGAGATCAGCCAGGTCCAAATTAAAATTTGCAACAGAAGAGGCTGGAGAGAAACCATCATGGGCTTCAAATGAAATCAAATTTAGGTTTTGCCCTGGTTTGCATTCACCACTTTCATGGTGGCATCTAGCACTCTAAAGGCCAAGGGCAATCCTCTGGATCGAAATAAACGGTGCCCTGCATTATCTTCCCCCAACTGAGTCTTCATCCATAAAGCCAGAGACGAGCCTGCAAACCTGCTCCAGAGCTGGCAAGCTGTTCTTTCTGTTTAACTCCTTCAGCATGCGATGCTTTCTTCCTCCTTTGCTCTGGCCTCACAACACCCTTGTGAGATAGGTGAGGCAGAAGGGCGATTTGAAACGGAGCCAGCCCAGCGCTACTGGAACCACCCTGCCACCCTGTTGCACCAGGTTTGGGAATCAGAACCAATTGGCACTTTCGGGTCTGTTCGCGTGGGCAATTCGAGAGTAGAGGGGCATTCAGGTTTTTCCCACCTCAGCAGAAGGGAGGCGGCAGTACTCGCAGAGTTGCTTCTGAAGGATGACCAGATGCATCCTTATCCACCGGGGCCTCCTCTAAAAAGAAGATATGGCGGGACGTGGCTTGTCTTTCTTCAGCACTTTTTTTGGGGCAGGTCTTGCTTTGTGGGGCTTCTGGGTATATGGGCACACCCAGGCACGGAGAAATGGCATTGCCCGGCAGACAGATGGGGCAAATGTGTTTTGCCCGACTCCAAGAAAAGGACCGGAGCAGAATTTCACGTGCTCCCGCAGCACGGCTTGAATGACATGCCAACTTGAGGGGCACCATAGCCCTCTTCCTCCACTCCTGTGTGCGGGAAGCCTGGGTTTTGGTGCCGAGTTTTGGAAGGAGCTGCTGGGCTGACAGTAGACCAGGCTCCACCAAGGATGCGATTCCCAGCCAAGTGTCACACAACCCGTTGCAGGGGCTCACAGCTACTGAAGAACCAGCTTCAAAACAGTAACAGGACTTTTCCATGGAGGGGGACTCCCTCTGCCGTCTTCATCTGCCACTGCAGAGCCAACGAAACCTTTGCACATCCCCTTGCAAACGTCATAGGCTCCCAGCCCCAAAAACCACAGCCTCTCTCCAAGGGCTCAGGGAATTCCAGAAATGCCCAAGAAAATCTTAACAAACAAACAAACACACAGCAAACCCTACATCAGTTTCATCTGCGGTCGGAGGACCGGGAGGAGCAGCTCTCTGATCTGCTCCAAGTCTTGGTGAAACTGTATAGCTGGAGCTTGCACGCTTTCGGTCCCTTCAGAGAACCGAGAGGGCCACGTCTCAGGTTTTGGGGGGATCAAGGGCTGCATTGCAAAAACTGTTCTCTGCTTAGGATCTTCAACAAGAAATTAGAAGGGTTTTGCTTCTCCAGGCATCCTGACAGATTCTCAAGGGAAGAAGAGATCCTGGAATAGCTGTTGTCCGGCCAAGCAGATTGCAAGGCAGGGAGGGGAGAAAAATGACAGGCAGACTAAATAACCCCTTAAGTGCTTAATATTAAAACGGGGAACAAACCCAGATACACCTGCCTAAAATCTTCAGAATGTCTCAAGACACCACCTGTTTTATTACTCATTATTTCACTAGATCAAGACAGGAAAGATGTTTCTCTACCCATATCACCCTATTTTATTGTCACAACCACCTTGTGTCGTAGTTTGGGTAGAATGATCGATCATTATTGGCCAGCCAGTGAATTTTCTGGCTGAGTGGGCTTCTGAATCATTCTGTTTCCCCAGTTCTACATTACTATTTTTAAGCGCTTTATCAACCTTCTCCTCCAGATACAGTGGATTACAATTCACAGGGTTGGTGATCAGTGCCAGTCAATACATCTGAAGGGGATCAGACTTGACAGGGCTTTCCATAGCGTGGAGCATCAGTTGTATTTGGGGGACTTAGAAGATCACAGCGTCTTCCAACCGGCAACTTCAAAGATTCAGGCGCTGTGTACACAAAACTGTGCTCAAGCACTGCCTATCTTGCTTGAGTCAAAAAGCAAGCAAGCCAAACTCCAACTCATAGCACAGGAAGATTTTGTGTGAAAGCTGGGCAACAGAACAGAGCCAGCAGCAGCACCCTCTGCACACTTCAGACTCCTGCAACACCAGGAACGCAGCCCCTGCAGGATTCCAGAATCCAGTAATTGGGATCTTTCAAGCAAAGGGCTCAAGAGACGAGGAAAAGGGCCATTTGAAAACCAAACTCTATCAATTAAAAAAAAACAAAACCAAAAACCAAAAAAGCTGCATTTATGGGATGCCTGTCCATCTTTAATTCAGCAGAGTTTTCCCAAGCAGTTCCATGCTGCTGTCAGGGTGGCGGGATGACCTCCAACCAAGCAGAGGGACGGGAAGTCTTCAGGATCCTTCCAGAGAGAACCGTGCAGAGTCCAGGCTCGCCTTCTAGTGGAGTTGGGGTGTAATCCCCACCACCTCCTGCCCAAATGCGCACTGTAGCCCTGCGCATCCAGAAGAGACCAGAAGACGGGATTCCACTGCTGATTCCCAAGCCTAGTGGCCAAACTGCTTTGAACCAGCCAGCGGACAGCCCTCCCGCTGCGTCAGGCAGCTACCTGCCCCACCACCACCTCTCCATCCCTATGTTCTCCCCCTTGAGCCAACTGCTTGTCAGGCGCACAAGCTTAAAATTCATGAAAACATGAGAGAACTCTAGAGAGTGTCACATAATCCCCCTCCCCATCTTTGGTGGGATACCTCCCTCTTAACACACGGCCTCTCAGTAGGGCTGAGAACTGCTCAGGCGCCTGCAGAACCCTTCCCTCCCGAAAACAAGCACCTGGGCTTAGAGTCTGCAAGGAGTGCCACCCTAATCCAAGAGCCACAACCGGGTGGGGGACACTGCCCTTCTCCGGGCCAGGCCTTCGCCCTCCCTTGGCCTCCTCCAGGCTGTCAAAGGAGCCACAGAGAGGGGGACAAGCAAACAGCTTCTTCCTCTTACCCACAGGTCAACAGCTGGCACAAAAGGGAACCTGAGAGTGGTTCAAGGACTGTAAGTGGGAAAGGGCCTTTAGAGGGATACCAGGGCCAAGTCATTATAGGAGGGTGGTGGTTGTCAGTCTATGTTGCCCCCCCTAAAAAACCCAACAACAACACAACAGCAGAGTCTGGTAGTGTCTTTCCCATAACGTTTGTTACTCAGAAACGGTGCTACCAGACTGCTCGAGTCCAGCAGTGCTCCCTCGGTGCTCCCAGGAGCAGGGTAACAGGCAGACACTTCAAAGCAACACCAGTCACGTCAGGTAGTCACTGCATTTTATTGGAAAACATTGATATAATTTTATTTTCACAGCTTGAACTGAACAAACGCCACCTGCTTTCAAAGACATTCTTGCTCCAACCTTCCCCACGCTCTTCGGCAAGCCCCCTCCGCTGACACGGCCGAGTGCAGAAGGCAAGAAACCGGAAGGAGCGAAGTCGGGCCTGCCGCGGGCGGCACAAAGCACTCTCCCGTCCAGTTTCAGGAGAATTCTGCTTCTCGTTTCAATTGCCTCTCCAAAAAAACCCCAAACATCTTTTTATTTGATTAAAAAAGAAAAAGAAAAAGAGAAGCAAAATTTGCAGCTCATGCTGTTTGCCGCAAGGAGAGGGGAGGAAGAGCGGGGAGGGGGGAAAGAAGGGGAAAAGGCGGAGGAAGCCACAGCAAAGAGCACAGACACCGAAGCCAAGGTGCGTCAGAGGCGTTAAGTCGCGAGCCACTACGGAAGAAAAAAAAGCATTGCACGAGGGGGGGAGGGGGGAGAAAAGGGTGTTCTGGCGCAGTTGGCATTCACTCAGCGGAGGCTTCACTGTTTTATTGCGATTCCACTCCAATGCACCCCCTCCCAAGCTGCCAGCCAAAAGCATCCGCCGTTACCACACGCAGGGCGCACCCTAGAGGCTGTAGCATCAGATATGTACATAGCAGCTCTGATGTCTGACACAATGCTTAGGAAACTGTAAGGACATTTACAATTTATACAGGGTTAAGAACAGAGACAGAAGATTGAAGTTTTGGGTGGTTGGGTTGGTGGGTGTTTTGAAAAGCGCCAATTGGACAGTGTTGGGACACTTGCCCCCCTCTCTTCGATCAGCCTCTCCTCTGGGTCATGCTGATGGAATCCACCTTCAGCCATATACATCCAGATGGTGGGATAACTCCCCCTCCCACCCAAAGAAAACTAAGGAAAGAAAAAACAAACGATTTCTTACTTGTACCCCCGGTGTTCCTTGGGGCAAGACCTTCAGTGGTGACTGCCATGTCAACGCGCACAACTACAGTGCCCAGACACATGCAACATGATTGAGAAGATTTTGCACTCTCTCCACCCCTTCATGTGGATTCTTGAAAGAAAGAGAAAGAATCTGCACCCTGAGATATGGGCCAGCTCTGACTACAGAACAGAATACCCAATGGAAACGAAGACATCCACAAGGCTGGGGGGCTCTCAGGGGATTTTAGAGGATTCTCCTAGGAAGGGACGGAAGAAGAGAGGGAAGGAGGGAGGGAAGGGGAAAAGCGAAAAGAGGAGGGAGAGATGAGTGCAATCATGCAGCTTGGGAAGGTGTTTTTTTTTTAATTGCTTGGTCAGATTTATTCCACAGCCGATTTGTTTGCTTATAGAACCAGGTTACTTAAGTAGAGAGAGTGTGTTGGAGAAAGTATCGAAGGAGAACGGGCCTTGCCAGCCACCCAGTCTGCAGGCTTCACTTTGCGGTCATCATCTGCACAAACTCTGCAAGAGACACAGCACAAAGCAACACGGTGAGCGCCCGCTGGGTCCTCGTCAACGTCTCCGGTGCAGGCGTTGCCTTCCCCTCCGCTCACTTAGCTCCTGGCACAGACACAACCCCAGGTGTACAGCAGACAACCTTTTACTTGCTTTAAATGTGTGACCCCAGTTGAGAGAAAAAAGGAACCAGTATCCCCTACAGTCCTAGTCATAAACAGCCCTGCTCTCCTGAACAAACACCAACAGACCAAAGGTTAAAAGTCACCACATGTTCCCAGCACCAAAGAAGGATGCTCCGAAGGGAACCACCAGGTGGGGAGTGAGGAAAGTCCTGGTTCAGCTGAACACGTTAAATATAAGCAAGGACTGTAGAGATAGCGAGCCTTTCCATGCTTGCCTTTGTGACAGGATTTCAGCTTATTTTCACAAAACTCCATGTGGATGCCCCTCCAATCTTCCACACTAAAGCTAAAGCTGGGCAGAGTCTTCCCCGTGACATCAATTTCCACTCTCTCCAGCCAGCATCAAAAATGGCCGTAGTCATCCAGCCCCTTCAGAGGGCACAAGGGTGAGGAAAGCTCCCCTACCAACCTGTGGAGAGCCCTATGGTTCTTTATTAGCAGGTCCTCAAATCTCTAAGCAGCCATATTGTGGTCCCCCATCCCCCCTTTACCAACCTTCATAGTTGACCTGCCCATCTCCATCAATATCAGCTTCCCGTATCATTTCATCCACTTCTTCATCTGTGAGCTTTTCTCCAAGGTTTGTCATCACGTGGCGCAACTCTGCTGCACTGATGTAGCCATTCCCATCCTGAAAGTGGAGAAATCTTTCAGGTGAGGGAGGGGCAGACCTTTCCCTGGCACGCCCAGGGAGATGGCAGCTTCAGGGAAGGAGATCCACTCTTTCTCCTTCCATTATTGTGGAAAGGTCTCCCTGCCTCCCTCCACCCCTCAGTAGCTCTTATTAGCTGCTTCACCTTGTCAAACACCCTGAACGCCTCCCTGATCTCTTCCTCGCTATCTGTGTCCTTCATCTTCCTTGCCATCATGGTCAAGAACTCTGGGAAGTCGATTGTGCCATTCCCTGAAATGCAGCAATGGGCACTGTGAGACCAAGCGGGCAGCTTCTGACACGTACAGCACATCCATGGAGAACTGTCCCCCTTAAGCAGGCTTTGAAAACTCCCACCCTGCTCAAAGGAATGCCACCCAAGCCAGCGGATTCCTTCCAGCTGGAGAGGCCGCTTGTGTTGGTTATGCCACAGAGCCCGTTTCAATGTGAATGAAACAAGGACATCTACTTCCAGTTTATGGTCCAGAGCAGAATACTGCCTATCACCTCAAAAGGGAGACAGAAAGGGTGTCCGAGGAACAATCACTAAGAAGGCTGCAGGTCCAATAGTTTGCTGGACGTGGCTATCGCAGCCCAGCCAGGCCACGTCAGCCAGCACTGGGCATTTGGAGCAAAGATGCTGGAAAAGTTCTAGACAGAGGCTGCTTTTTCACCTGCTAAGCAGACAGCTTGCTTCTATCTAAATTCTTGTACTGAACATGTGGAGAACCCACGTTTTGAACTAATTTGGCCATTCTTATTACGGAGGCTTTGGGTTCACTCACCATCCGCATCCACCTCGTTAATCATGTCTTGCAGTTCTGCCTCAGTGGGGTTTTGTCCCAGAGACCTCATCACAGTGCCAAGCTCCTTGGTGGTGATGGTTCCATCGCCATCCTTGTCAAAGAGGGAGAAGGCCTCCTTGAATTCTGCAGAAAACCAGAGCACTCAAACCAAGTAGTGTAGATACCCAGACAATCTTACCCCAAAGGCTCATGAAGGAGAAAAGATTAAATGGATCGTATGAAATCTTGAAAGCCCAAGTCCTTACGCTGCTAATAATGGTACTTCTCTGTTTTCTAGCACCTGTTCCTTGCAGCCCTAAGCCCAAGCCACCTGCAGCTGGAGAAATAACAGCCTAACAAAGCCAGATAGAGTTCATTAAAAAGATGCTGCCTAACAGAAAAAGCTGGTCCTTCTGTGCAACAACGTTAAGAACTGCCTCTCTGTATGCATTATTGAGCAAGTCTGCCTGACTGAGGCACCCACTTCAGCTTCTGGCGAAAGAGCTGGTGTTTTGCTAGTTGTTGCTCTTCAACAACCAGGGGCTATTAATCATATTTATGCTCATGCATGGGAACTCACCTGCAATCTGTTCTTCAGTCAGCTGGTCAGCCTGGAAGCAGAAAAGAGAGGTTAACTGCTAGGCCTCACCCATCTCTGTCAGACTTGGTATCTTTCACCAAATAATCATCAGGTGGGGAAGCATCAGTTGCAGTGATATTTTCCATGCTCTCAGTTAATGCCCAGAAAAGGCAACTGAGATCCCTCCAAATTTTTTCAGCTTTGAACCCACATCCTCCTCATTCTCGCACCATAAAATCATGAAATCTTGATTACTATCACTCTGAGATGCAGCAGCCTCCCAAATCACAGGGGCTGAACAGGTTCCACCAAAGTTATTACGTTTCCTGTCTTCTACAATTCTGCCCAAACCATGATTGGTCTCCATCACAACACAGCTGCAACTTGGAACAATCATCTCCACCAGTGAACCCATCCTTCATTGCAGATCCCTGAATCCAGATGTTCGGCCTACGCCTGCTTTCTTGAGAGCTAGCCCATCCTTCTAACCCTCTCCTGCAAGGAGTCTGGAGAACAACCATTCTCTTTGCTCTTCGCTCCAGCCGTAAGGAACTGTCAAGGAGCATAAAAACAAAGGGCAGCAGTGTTCAAGGACGGTAGAAGAGTCTTGCTCCAACTGCCTCCAATGGCTAGGGACAGCCTTACAAAATAAAAGCATTTCCCTGTTTCCTAAGCTTTGCTCTGGACTATGGACGCCCAGCCCCTTCTGTCTCTTTCCTGCTCTTAAAGAAGGCTACTGATTCCCAGGCACTGGCGTCTTGAACTCCTACAAATTCAGGCTGCACAAGCTACGAGAACAGATACACTGCAAGAGCTGCCAACGAAGACCCACAAGGGTGGCTGATTCATGCAGGAGAGCATCAAAAAAGCCAGTCTGACAACACAATTTCTGGAATTTATTCCCACAAGACCTGGTGACGACCACTGAAAGCCAGTTCACAGCAATAACCATATCTCAGCAAATTTCATTAATCCCACCCATTCACAGAGAAAAGGCCTACCAGTTCTTAGTGCTGATGGCAAAAAGAGACTTGGAGGCTCTTTTAAGTCCTGGTGGTCAGCTTTTCTGAGGCAACTCCAGCCATTATGAGAAACAGGATGCTGGACCTTCCAGTGACTCAGCAGTTCCCTCCTGCCCCAGGAGAAATGCCTTGCAAATCCCAAGCACAGCTAATCAGGTTCAAATCATAAGCCATATCATTAACAAGTGGTTTATTGGGTTAAGATTACAGATATACTGAGCTGAGCACAGGTGTTCTGGGTCATCAACAGACCATGTTTCAGACTTCCAAGTTCTCTCAATATATCTTTTGCACAGAATGACTAGAACTGGACCTCAAAGACATATTCTCTACCTTCTTCTTATAAAAAGGCTGGAAGTGAGATCCAAAATGGCTTCTGTCTCTAGGAGGGTCATATGACTGATTCGTTTTTTAAAAGGCCAGTTTGAAAAAGGCATTGCTCCAACTGCAAGAATGTGTGTTTACCATGCTGAATTTCACTGCAGGCATCTAGGCTTCTGGGTGAGAGCCAACAAGTTACAGTAGCTCAAGTGTGTTAGAACTTTAACCAGAAAGAGATGAGCAAGTGATGCTTACTGAGTGACCTTGGGCCAGCTGCTACCTACCTCCAAGCATGTGGCAGGAACCACAGCTTGGGTTCCTATGGTGAACCATAAGCATTTATCAACAGCAACAAAGGAACAAGCATATTCCCACCCTTCTTCAGCACCATGTCGTGAAACTTCTGGCCATCCTATCTGGGACAGTCTCCCATTACATATGCTATGGCTGAGATGAAATGAGCTGTGTCACCCTCTCTTACTTATGCAAACTGCAACTACAGAGCAGTTTGTAGGTCACAAGCATTCCAGGGCAAGCGGCTAAGAGAGCTAGAAGAGTCTAATTCAATGCTCTGGGAAACAGGAGTTGAAACGCAAAGATTATTTGGACTTCAGCCCCAACTGCAGTCCTGCTATTCCAACCCTGCAGCACAGTCAGAGCAGGAACAGAAAGCAAACCTAATATGGCCAGAGATCCCCTTCTTGCAAGGTGCACATAGCACGAAAGACTGGAGCAGGAACAGAAAGCAAACCTAATATGGCCAGAGATCCCCTTCTTGCAAGGTGCACATAGCACGAAAGACTGGAGCAGGAACAGAAAGCAAACCTAATATGGCCAGAGATCCCCTTCTTGCAAGGTGCACATAGCACGAAAGACTGCCAAGGGCGCAACAGACAAAATGATGCAGGCCGAGGGAGGAGAAAGTCCCCCAGGAAAGGAAAACCTCAGAAGTAGCCCTCTGAACTTCCCCCACCTCCACATTCTGGA